ATATATATATATATATATATATATATATATATATATATATATATATATATATATATATATATATATATATATATATATATATATATATATATATATATATATATATATGAATATATATATATATATGAAATAAGGTTCCATGCAATATTTCCCAGTGCTACTGTTAAGAAATTTGGCTAAAATAGCGAACGCGCGTAAAGGGATATGGCAATAAAAATTAGGTTTGTCTTATTTGCGTTATTTGAAAGAACTTTTAAAGTTATGTATGAAAACCCTTTACAACGACCTTTTCGTACCTTGATTGGTTTTCGAAATATTTTGACCAAAAACAGTATGCAGTCCGCCGCTATCTTGGTATTACAATTGACCTAATTAACTGAGTTTTTGGTGACGTCAAAAGTAATTAGGTAAACTTGTTAAACCTTCTTCATGTGGGACTAAACTTCGTCGAAAGGTTTCTTAAAATGTGGTGACTTAATTGAGTATATTAAAAAGATTTCGGAAGATCGAGTTTCCTATTGATAACATGTAGTTTGCAAGATAAAAATTTCGCTCTTAACCCCACTGCTTTAACGCTGCTTTTGATCAAAATAAGTCGATTTATATATTTCGAAAACCAAGCAAAATAAGGAATTGTAAAGAAAATTTATATATCATTTTAAATGTTCTTTCAAATAAAACAAACTTGATTTATATTGCCATATCCCTAAATAACTCCATTCATCGAGAGGATGATACCTTCATGCATATTTGACCCAAATGTGGGTAAATCCTTATAATAAAATTTATAATATTTTTAAAATGAGCGTATGAAACATGACGAAAATAGTAACTTTTATTTTCTATTGTATATACTAGTGAAAATAAACCAATCTGATTGGCTGAAGAGCCTTTCAGAGCGGACTTGTTTTTTCCATCCGGCCAACTCTAAAATGCAACTGCCCGCTATGAAATACAACAACCTGCTGTGAAGCCCACTATGGCTTTCGCGCCAAAAGTCAGGGAACAAAACAATTTTTTAACTAATGATAGTCAATGATACCCAGAATACGAAAATAAATCGCATCAACACTGTAAATTTCAAGGAGTCTAATCAACCACAAGTGTTATTCTGTAATCGTTTTAGACCGTTTTGCATGGTTAGGCTACAGAATAAAGCTGTTTGAGTTGATTCAACCCCTTGAAATTTACAGTGAAACCATAAAGACTTCGATCATAATAAGCACGATGTACATGCACCATAATTGACAATATTTTGATAGAATTAAATACGACTAAAAGTCAGAAAGTTATTTGACATGTATAAAACTTACGCCGAGAAAGCTATATTTTTGTTCTAAATGCTCACGTAGGCCGATTCGTCCACTTAAAGCGAAAAATTACGGCATGTAGTAAAACACTGACTACCGGAACACCGGAACACCACCGGAACACCGGAACACCACCATTTTGTTTGGGGTTAGGGTTAGGATTAGGGTTTGGGGTTAGGGTTAGGGTTGGGGGTTAGGGTTAGGTGGTGTTCCGGTGTTTCGGTGGTGTTTCGGTGGTGTTCCGGTGGTGTTCCGGTGGTGTTCCGGTGTTCCGGTAGTCAGTGTTTTACTACATGCCAAAAATTACAGCTTAAACAAATATCGCAAAAGAAATGTTTTCCCCACATACACACGATCTTAAAAGAAGGTTTAACTGCAGTGAAAACAAGTTATGAGTATATTCTCTATCCATTTGTGTCATATATGCACCATTTTTCACTGGCATAAATGTTGTAAACAAAGTCAAAATCTTTGTTTAAAACACATTTTCAAGCATATTATCGTAAAACGACCAGAAAATACAAAATCTAAAAACAGCGTACCTTTTTCATTTTCCTGTTGGTACAACAGCGTTGATTAGATCAAAACAGACTCGTTTATGTGTGTTTTTCGGCAAAGCAAGCGAACATCAACCTGACCTTGTTGGAAATAACTAAATTTATGAAAGCCAACACGCCAGGCCTAAACTTTTCATTCCAATGCTTCTCCGATACCGTATTCACGATAAAAGCATGTATATTTTCACTGAAACTACATGTCTTTTTGTGTGTTTCATATTCGTGTAATCCCACGAGCCGGCGGCGCGAAGCGCCGTGCGAGGGTACTAATTCCCCCCGGCTATTTACACCCGGGGAAACGAAAGCATTAGCCAAGTCTAAAGTTCATCAA